TTCTTAGCGATGCACTTGACAAATACGGTGGATCATGTTACCACATGTTGCACACATTGTAAAAGCACAAGCCAGTGTCGAGATGGGCAGTCACACCATGATGTGTCTGTTTATATTTAGGTTTTGTTAGTATATTGCTCTGCAGGTGTTTCTTCCTTTATAGGGCTAATGTTGCCCTAAAATGCTGCCAAGTAGAGGACAGAATGAAAGACCCCCAGTTCTTACACATGTCCTGTTGGGCAGGGACAAGCACAATCATTAAAATAAAGGTGATCACAATGCATCAGTTGGGGCCCAGGTGATTTTATTATCCTGTTTCTCTACCACGTGGGTCCTATTTGTGCCTTTTTTTTTTTTTGCCAGTGACATTTCCAACACACCTTTCTTGTCTAATGTAAACTGATTTTGTTGTTTCTGGAGAAGTGTAGAACTGCTGAAGCTTTGTAACATCTCTGAACAACATTCACAGAAAATGATATTCAAAAGAACATTCAGAGCACATTTGAACACTTACTTTCTTAAATTGGTGTGAAATCAATGTGCATATAGTAGAGTAAGAATAACATCTTACACATTAAAATGTCTTTCAAAATGTGTGAAATGCTCACAAAGATAATCAAACTCGATGCAGATTTTTAAACTATAGCAGCTCCTTGTGTATGATGAAAAATTATAGTAGTTTTTTTGTTCAATTTTTGGAGATGTAGTTGCATCTTAATTTCTTTTTTGTTTGTAGTACATTGTACATTTTGAAATTTTTGGAGAGATATTATTGGATATACTATTTCAAGAGAAATATTTAAAGACTGGATCTAAAGGCAAATATATATTTAAGGGCAAAACATAGAAAGCCTTAATGCCGTTAAACTGTGACATTTCTCATCCAGACCCCAAATTATTGTTTTCGTCTGAGAATAGAAACTATATTTGTATCCATATAGCAATCCGTTATGCTGGAGAAAGTTTTTATATATATGTTTTTTTTTTAGAACTTCATTAATTATTTATAAACAAGTACTGATTATTTAAGGTCTGTTACACGTGATAAAAAGTTACATTTCTAAATGCTTTTACTGAAAATGCATATTACCTGTGTGACTTTTTTACAGGTAAATTCAATAAATGCTAAAAATCCAAATTGCTAAATTTATGCAAAAATAGCCACAATGTGACTATAGCAAAGTTGGAGAATATTTCCAAATAAGCACCTTTTGCCAATATTTTGCAATTTGGTTTTCAATTCACTGCAGTATGGAGTTTATTGAATTAAGTCAATAGTTGGCTTTGGTTACTAGTTCTTTAACCCCTTAAGGACCAAACTTCTGGAATAAAAGGGAATCATGACATGTCACACATGTCATGTGTCCTTAAGGGGTTAAAGTCATTTTCAGTGTTGTATTTTATGTGGTACAGAAAAAATATAGTGCCAACCAACTTGAGACATATGGCCAAAATAGTGGAGTTGAAGATTTTAGTTTAATTATTCTGTTGTAGTTTAAGTAGGCTGTCAACATACTGCAAGTCACTATTTATTGAATACACTTACGTGGATTTTTCCTGCGATGTGATTGTTTTACATCAATGGTTCTTAACCTTTTTTGTCATTGAATCATTTTATGTATATTTAGTAACACCTTCTTCAAGTGTAACATAAATTCTGTAAAACACCTTCATTGTTCTTGTCCCAATCTCAATAATTTTCCACTTGTGGGGAAAGCAAAACAACTATACCTTTACAATAAGCAATTGTTGTGGTCTGTTATTGAGGCCTGATCAATATTATATATCTGTTAATACCAGTGAGGACCCACTAAAAGCCCAAGGAATCCATTTTGAAGTCTCTACCCATGGTTAAGAACCACTGTTGTAGAATTTCCTATTTGAATTTGATGTACCTTTCCAGAAGAGAGAGAATTTGATAGTGGAATATTTTTGTATCCATTTTAATGTAGGTTTTGGTTTCCCTAATGTACTCACGTTACTAGGCCTTCTCGTCACTCAGAATGAATGTGTCTTTATGTATGCGTTGGTAAATATCTGTCTCACAATCCAGTATTTTAGCTAAAATACATTTTTTTTTTTTTTGTAATTCTAAAAAGATTTATTTACATCTTTCTATTTTGTCATGCATTTCTACTTATTTTGCTTTAAGTCAAGATTTACCTTAATAGTGTTTAGTGATGCTCGAGTTATTTCTCAATATTTTATAGTGTAAATAAATGAAAATGCCAGTAATCAATAGAGAAGACAAGTAAGTTCACAACATTGGATGATTTTATATAATAAATATATATATATATATATATTTATTATACACACACTGTTTTACAATAGATTCCTTAGGATAAGTTACAGTTGGCATTGTGTCAAAAGACTGGTAGGTAGATATCCAACACAAATTTGTTACAATACTTCTTTCTATTGAAATCAAGAGATTGATTTATAGTGAAGGTACAAAGAATGTCTGATAACTTTAGCTCACATTTTACAAACTATTAAGAGTGAGGGGTTTGACTCATAGCAGCAGCAAAACTTGCATGTCTGCAGTTAGAAGACACTATGTGCAGAGGGAGAGGTCCTTGGTGTTACCATAACCTATGCAAGGAAGTCTGGCCGTAGGCTATCGTAGAGAAGATTAAGGTTAAATTCTCAAAAATGGCAGATTCACTTTAACCAGCATGGTTAATGTTAGTTACATAACTATATAATTTCTCAGATACAACAAATTGTTTTGTCATAAATGTGTACAAAATAAAATCACAACACGACTGAACAGCACACCTTAAACTAATTAGCTCTCTACTATCCATATTTGAGGTAGTCAGGTTATTCACAATAAATCCTGTAAGTAGATCAGCCTCATTCGTATAGGTTTTAAAGTGGCATTTATCATGAAAATGCCAACCCTAATGAAATGAAATAATGTGTGGCAGATGGCTCACACCTGTTGCAGCAAGTAAACAATCACTGTTAAAACTGGTATTTGTCATGAGTACAGGCTTTGTATGTATTCATTGGGTGAATGTTGATATTGTTACCAATGTCAGATAATGGTAATATTCAAAATGCCATCTGTTTTGTCAGGGGGGATCAACTACAAAGCTAGAGACAACTGCTCATATTTTAACATCACTAACCAAATCACTGTCATTGTAACATTTGTGGTCATGTGGTGTGTTTTATTTTGTTTTTTATAAATACGAATATGTAACACTGACAAGGTTATTTCTAAAAGTGAGAACGTTTGGGAGTTCTAAGTGAATTTGAAATTTAAGGCCAAAAAAGCTGATTTGGACAAATACAATATTTTAGCTCTGCTTCCAGTTTGGTTATTTTGGGCTAAAATGTTAAATTAACTTTGAATTCCTGGCAACACTCACTTTAGTAAATAATCCTGAAAGTTAAAGTATCTAGTGGTCAATATTAAAGGCACACTATGGTATAAGGAACAGAAACTTGTATGCCGAATGCTAAAGTGTTCTCTTTACTTAGATTCATAAAGAAATCTAACTAAAAATGGGAAAGGGCACTTTTCTTTTTTTTGTAAAGAGCATGAACTTCATTAGTTACCCATTGTAAGAGAACACTGTTCCTGAAATTTTAACCTCTTAATTTTCTTTGAAAACACCATTGATACAACTTACGGCAGACCGCACCTACATACCTCAAAATCCAATGCACTGTAGTAGAGTTTGTTTTTTTCCTTTACTTCTGCAATTTAGACTGACCTATTTTGCACTCAAGATGGATAAAAACAGGATTTGGTCTTTGTACATTGTGGTTTGATTTATATCACTCCACATGGAGCACAGATGTGTTTAATGTTTTATGTGGAAATACATTATTGAGCCAGACACTCAAGACTCCCAAATTCTAGTTACAATAATGATGAGAAAAATTAAAAGCTACAGAGTAATGTTAACATGTTCCAGAAATGAGTGGGTTTATTTATCTGGACCAAATCTAGTGCAGAGTTCTAAAAATTCAAGAAGCAAACAAATATCAGCAGAAACATGGTGCTTATATGATCTCTGCTCCACTTTTAAAGCTTTGGTCTAGAATTATTAATTAATCCCATAACCCTTGACATATGAAAGTGGTCTATTTGTTGTTGTTTTTTTTAGATTTGTTTGGCCATTTTAAAAAGGCCAGCCAAGGTTTCTGAAAGCTGTGGTCCACAACTAGCTGGAAAACAGCCTACACACTGATTGCACAGCGCTTTTTAGCTTAGGCTTATTGATAACATTTACCTAGACTAGAGGGAGTTATGAAGTAAAAAGTAAATTGTAAAAGTGGGGCAATCTCAATGGAAACCTACTGAATATTTTCTGCTGCATACTCCAATTTTAGGAGTTCAAACTGCAGCCCTTTATAGATAAAAGCTCAAAAACCCAGCTCTACACACAACCTATATACCGGATTGCTTTGTTGTTGTAACATACACATAACAGTAGAAAACACACAGTTACATCTCAGATTAACTGGGGTTTATTTATGAAGAGCAATCTGGGGGCATTTCTTACCATAGTGATTGATTGTAGGAACTTTGCCTTAGACCTGCTCTTTATATATAAACGGTCATGGTGGGAAAAAAAGTGCTAAACTTGACAAATTGTTTTGATAATTGTTTACTAAAATATTAGTTGGAAATGTTTGTGTACTTTATTTGCCAATAGTATATTTTTCTAGATATATATTTTATGCTAAAAGAAATTGCCTTCATAGGGAAAATGTTTGTTCTGATAAGCATAGTTCTGTTTTTCTCAGATCATAATAAAATATTATTTCTGAAATTTCTTGGCTTCTGTATTATTACAGCTATGCACTGAAAATACATTTTGACAATACTGGAGAAAAAAAAAAACTCAAATGTTTACCATATTTTTATTCAAATCTACATTTACATATTTATGTTATTTTCTTACACAACATGAGAGACAGTAGAATGGTCCTTGAAGAGAAGAACCCAATGCAGATTATTTTGTTTTGCTAGTAGACTTTTAATTGTAGGTCATATATCTTGGAGTAGCACTGAATTTTGCATATGACTTGATGACCTTATTAACAGCTTCTAAGAAATCTTTCTCTGTTGCAACTTTGCGACGGGCTCGGATAGCAAACATCCCTGCCTCTGTGCACACACTGCGAATTTCAGCACCTACACAGGAAGAGAGATAAAGTTAGTTTGCCACAGTAAAACAATTGATATGGAGAATAACAGAATGCTACATTGGCTGAGAAGAGCCCTGAAACAGTTGAGCTTTATTCTACAGAGATTATTTTGCTCCTGCAGAAGAAGGTTTGTGACATGGACACCCAGGTGGCACAGATACATTTCCAAACCGTACTAAAACATTGACTTACTGTAGTGCAGCTCTACACCATGCTGGCACCATAACCACTACAGTGGTTATGGTGCCACTACAGTGGTTATGGTGCTTGGAGTGTTCAATTCTGATATCCAAAAGCACTGAACACTCAAGTAATTCATAAAACTAAACGTGAATGACATTCTTCTTTCAAATAAAGTACATTAAATATATATGCTTCTTATTCATGAACATTAAATCAGTTAGCAAAACACTTTTATAAACAAATTTGAATACAATACCTGTGCTATTTGGACACAGTCGGGCCAGTAGTTCAAATCTTATATCTCTTTCAACGCTCATAGAACGAGCATGAATTTTGAATATATGTGTACGTCCCTGCAAAACAAAAACAGTAGGAAGCAATACCATTTCATTAATAATAATCAGAACATCTTATGACACCTAAAAATATGTTTTACATAGAGAGAGCTATAATTGTGACATATTTAAAAGTAATTTTACCTCAAGATCGGGTAAACTGAACTCAATTTTTCTGTCCAGTCTCCCAGGCCTCATCAGTGCAGGATCTAAAGTGTCTGGTCTATTGGTAGCCATTAGTACTTTGATATTTCCTCTGGGATCAAAGCCATCTAACTGATTGATCAATTCCAGCATTGTGCGCTGGACTTCATTATCACCGCCAGCTCCATCATCAAAACGAGCTCCTATTAAGAGAGTTGAGATGATTATTTTTCTACTTAAGCTAGACAAAGAAAAAAGTCACATGCTTTTTTAAATAATATTTTCTTTATATTTAATACAAACACAACACAACTTTTTTTTTTTTTTTTTTTTTAAATGCAAACTATAAACTTTTTTTTTCTTTAAGTCAGCCACCAGTTTGCACACCAATAGTGCAAGTTTTAAGACTCATCTAAATGTTCAATGTGATCCATCTGATAGTCATTTTGACAAATTAACAGGACTTGTAAGCACATGCAGAGATGGTAAAAAGCAGTATTATTTGGATAAAAAAGCAAAATGTTCAAACACTGGTGAACTCTAGTTCTATATGAATACCAACAAGCCATGTTTCCAGGAGGACAAATATAAACTTGAGCAATATATTCTATCAAACTCTGGACAGATTTTACAATTACTTAAATGGATAATTTGTGTTTTTTCCCTTCACTTAAATAAAGAGCATTACTTGCATTTGGGGCAAACCGTACTAATACAAAAAAAGAGATTTAAATTAAAGCGGCTCTGTAACCCCTTCATCCCGCAACAAATAAGTATTTCCGAAAGATAAGATCTTTATGAAATACGCACATTGACTGTGTTGGAATTTCACCGAAATTCCAGTTCAGTCAAAATATATCACAAGACAAAGTAAGCAATATTTTTTTCATACATTTTTCCCCCCCAACATGATAATAGAAAAGGCAGAGCTATCCCTTTTAAGTTTTGTCATATCCCCCAGAAAAAGAAAAAAAGGCATGGTCTATGGCGACTCTCGATCTTGTGGGATTCTTCTTAAACAGTGTAGTACTCTTGCAAGTGCTTAAGAGTACAGCACACACATGGGCTCACGCCAGATCAAAGTACCAGAACAGGATCCAGCAAATGGTTTTGGTGGTAGCCACAAAAACAACTTCCCTTGCACCCAGTGCACTGCATTGCAAGCGCAATATCCCAGAAGTTTACAATAACCCTTTATAAACCAGTCTAGAAAACAGTCTGGAAAACTGCCAGAGGACTTTCCAGTTTAAACCTATTGTTGACAGAACCCACATCATCATCTGATGCAAACTGACCCTGGTAAACCCACAGGAGAGAAGTGGCATGCAAGTGTGAGCTACCTACATATGCAATGATGTAAGGTTTCCCTTGACAGGAAACAATCAAGATACTTATTTTTATGATGTTCAAAATGTGAAGCTATACAAGGAAATTCCAGATCAAAGCAGACTTAGGTATAAATCTATGTTTGTGCAAAAATTGGAGAGAGGATTCAGAACATTTCTATTTTACATACACCAAAGTTGTAAAAAAAGGGATAATCAACTAGAGATCACATACCTCCAATTGCATCAATTTCATCAAAGAAAATAAGACATGCTTTCTTTGTCCTAGCCATCTCAAACAGCTCACGCACCATGCGTGCTCCCTGAAAGGATAACCACACGGTGTTAGATACCAGCAGACAAAGTGATTTACACTTTTGTGTAGTATTCAGGTTAACACTGGAATGACTTAAAACATGTTTGCAGGAATTAAGTTAAAAGAATGGTAAAGCATGCGATTCTACAATTGACATGAACTAGTTTTAATATTCCTCTTTGACTGCTACAGGGAAAACAAATTAGAATACATATATTCTAGAGAATATGCTCCATAGTGTGCTGCGCTTCGTGTAAATAAAGATCCTAATGAAGTTTGCAGTTCTACAAAGGACATGCATGAGGTTTAATACAGCTTCCGGGAAAAATGCAAAACGAAAACATAATCTAGCACAGATATATAGAGGCTAGAACGTGCAATTTGTTACTTTTCAAATTGAATGTTGGCCAAACACGGTAATTCTGAAACTTCCAATCAATGGAAAACAAAACTAGATAATTCGGAACTAAAGTCGAAAACAAATTATTTCCAATTAGTTTTAATAACAGCGTATTAGGGAGTTATCTACCTAACAAATGAAAATGCAAAAAAAAAATACCCTTCATTGCTCTCCCAGTTGTTTAGTAGACATGTCCTTAAGTTGATACCCTTTAATTATGGCAATTCCATGTATGGATACCAAATTGTGGAGTCATGTACTAAAACAGCTCAGAGAAAAATTCAGAAAAGCCATTCTCTGAATTCTGGAAATTAACATTTGCTTGAATCAATATTTTTAGAATTTTAGACAAACCAAAATTTTAAAATTAACAAAACAAAAATTTTACCCATGCACAACCCTAATAGAGACATGCTCTGTGTGTTATTAGAAAATGATATAACTTCCCTGCTCTCATGCTGAAGTGGGTGGATATTTTTAATGTAACTAGAAGCAAAAAAACAAAACTTACTTTTACTAGTTCTAAATAAAAATAAGTAGCTCCTGGCTATATCCACTAAACAGGGAGGTGTTTTGTATTGTGTTATGACAATATAAATAAAAAGTTCTTACCTCTCCAACATATTTCTGGACCAGTTCTGACCCAATGACTCTGATGAAGCAGGCATCAGTCCTGTTAGCTACTGCACGTGCACACAGTGTTTTGCCTGTTCCTGGGGGACCAAATAACAAAACTCCTTTTGGAGGCTCAATACCAAGATTGACAAATCGCTCTGGCTACAAATGAAAATGAGGCCACATGGTTACAAAACAAACAGGAAATCCATTCATACATGACATGTGTCCAATAGACATTTTAAGATATATCTTTATCAAATAACACATGTTTGTCTATACACTACAGGAAGCAAAAACAGATGTGTTATGTGTATGCAATGGTACTTGTTTCTTTTGCAATGTCCACAACTCAATAAAAATAACAGAGTGTGTTATCAATTATGTTTTTCTTAGGAAATACATTAGTTTGTAATCTACCTCTGCTGTTTATTTCCCAGGCCAAGTTAGGAATTGTTTTAGATGTGATCTTAGTTCACAAGTTGCTACATTTATGATAGTGAACAGATTATACACAGTTCTATATAGTATGCATCTTTAAAGAATTGAAACATCTATATGATATTATAACACTCTGCCTTCTAAATTCTGTGGTGAATACTTAGTAATAGAAGAGTTCAAAATAGCACTCTGCTTGTTCACATCTCAGACAAAATCAAGTGCAGCATATACATGCATTTACTTACATGAAGAAGGGGTGTTTCAACCACTTCCCTTAGCTTTTCAATTTGCTCCTTACAACCTCCGACATCACTGTAAGTCACATCAGGTTTCTCTTCTACCTGTACATGAATGCAGACACTGTTTATTAGAATGTAAGGTCTGTCCATCTCTCGTAAATAAATATACCCTTTTTATTATGGCTGTAAAATGTCTCAACCCTCGCTCCCACCATAAATTAAAACACCAAGCCAATGCAAAACAGTACAAATAGGTTAAAATCACCACCCAATCTTATGGAACCAAATGCTATTGTCCCAAGGTGAATCAAAAATGAAAAAAAAATAAGACTTGTTTTGGACCAAGGGAAAAAATGCTATACACGTAATTTCAATAAATAAACAATAACTTTAAGATTTCAGTTACCTGCATCATAGTTACAGTTGGATCAATTTTGGGAGGCAAAGGTATATGGATCTGGTACTTGTTTCTGTCCACACTGCAGGAAAAAGGAATATATATATTTATCAGTGTTCAGAGACAGATTGTTTACCCTTTAATTGATAAAGAACAGCGCAATAATTTTCAATCCTGTATCATTTAAACAAGTAATATTTCATGTCACATAATTGGGCAAGTGAAATTTCTGCAAACAGACTGACACATAAGTAAAGGGGCTGGTTTAACATAAAAATGTGATGTAATAATTACCCAACTCTCATGCCTTCTTCTATGTCAGTAGGAGCAACTTGATCACTGAGGTCAACCACAAATTTGGCAAACTGTTTGACATTGATAATGTATTTTGGATCCTCTGAGTCAGCATTGATTATTTTTGTACATCTAAACAAAACAAATAAATAATAAACATACACATAAGAAACGGCTAACACAATCTACTCAAAAAAGATTTAAATTGCTTGTTATTTCCTATGAATAATTATAGAGTAGGCTTCATATGTGCTGTGCAATTATAGTGCTTTAAAAAAAAAAAAAAAAAAAATTATTATTATTAACATCTTTATCTATTGTCATACATTCAAAGGCCACCTAACCAACGTCTACACACACACTCCTGCAAACTATGCAAGGCATTCAGATCTGAAGATATTAACTGCAGACTGCTTTATAATTCTACATCATAAAAATGTGTGACACCCTGGAGCTGATTATTATGCAAGAATTCTCCAAAACACCCATTTTATGAAGATTTTACCTGGCCACTTGAAGTGGTTGTTCACTCTGGAGAGTCTGTTTGTCAGCAGCCAAATCCCACAGGGCTGGAGGAGCAAGCCCTGTATCAGATTCCTTAATCCCTGAAAATTAGAATTGTACATTTATATGTGTAAATAGTACACTACTCCAACAGGCTTCTTGGTTGGTTCAGTATATACTATGTAAAAGTAACAGCTTTTACAGACACATTGCTCATATTTTTGATGGCATGAAATCAGCCTCTCCCACATTAAATAACCTTTTTTTTTGTTAAACATAAATTGGTTTTGGGCTAACCAAGTAAAAACAGAAACAAATATTACGGCAATAGAAAACCAAAATATGATGATGAGAAATAAATTATTTAAATATAATAGGACAATTTAGGTAGGGGAAACACGGAATAGACACTTCTTAGAATCAAAAGTTTTAAACTAAATAAAACAAAGAATACATACCTGTAAGCTCATTGATTTTTTTAAGAAGCTGCTGGATATCATCTTCTACCTGCTTAATCTGACGAGAATATGTACTCTGTCCCTGTAAAAGGCATCAAGCAATTGTTTTATTGAATTCTAAATGCAAATAGTTTTTTTTTATCTGCAAAGTGGAACAATTATATAACTTTTGAACATATGTACTATATATGATAAAGAAGAAACAGAACTCAGACCATGAAACCAATTATGTTATAGGGGATATTAGCTTGGGATTTGGACAAATCTCTGAAGAGTAAGAATTATTCAATGATATGATAAAATGGAAAATAGATCAGTCAGTGTACTTTGCTAGCCACTATAATAAATGGGGGAAATACAAAACACTATTTATACACAATCAGTAAAGGCCAATATGGCTTAAGAATACCGCTTTCTATTCAAATTGAACAAATATGAAATCAATTATTTTACAGGATAAAACACTTTGACTTACATAGGTTTTTAACAATGCTATGTCTCCTTCATCGAGTGCTGTAAAAAAAAAAAAAAGGAAAAAAATAATTTAACAAAATATCACCAACACAGGTTTGGGAGCAATTGTTATGGTGTTTTTTTTGTTTGTTTGTTTTTTAAATGCCACCTGAGCATTGCAAAAAGAACATTTGGCTTTGCAGATACATGGCGTTTTATGCAAATATAATATTTTATTTTCCACTTTAACGCCAGGAAGGAATTTTGTCCCATTGTGTGGCAACATTCTAAAATTATTTAAATTGGGGTTTTCAGATTATGTCGGATCAACAGCAAGAAGTGGCTCGATTTGAGTCTCTTTTATGTCTACATATAGACCAAAACGTAAAAAAGGGTAGGTGGTGAAATAAACTAGTGCAGGCAAGCCACTGTCATGAGGTCACTCCAAAACCTCCATACAAAAAAGCCACAAAATCCTGAACACGAATCAGAAAAACAGGGCGCCACAATCCAGACAAAGTTTTACTTGGTGATTGTGGCGCCCTGTTTTTGCTAATTCGTGTTCAGGATTTTATGTCTACATATACTATGTAACCTGACAGCTGATGTTGAAGGTGTACATAACCCACATTAGTGCTAACAGCAGCCCATAAACAGCCTTGGCAGTTGACAAGGCACCTACTGAGCATCCTTCCCTGCTCTATCTTATTGTTTACATCAAAGCTGCTGGGAGGGGGGTCTTCATCAGGGTCCCCTGCTTACTTCAGCATTAGGCTCTATGTGCATATGATAACATGGTATGCATCTGCATTATTTATCAGGCTTCTAAATAAAAAGCAAAATAGGTTTATAAAAAAAAAAAAAACAAAGACAATACTAAAGTCTCTGCTCACTGGGGGGGGTGCCAGGCTGGACATTCTGGGCCGAGTTCTAAACCCGTCCATTAGAGACAGCTGTAGGCCCCAATGGAAAACACTTTTCGGTCCCACTTACACCGGATGGGTTTGTCTTCCTTCTCCTCCTCCTCCTTGGTCTTGCGCTGGTCAGCTCCCAGATAGTCCGGCATGGTAACACGGTCTCTCACACTCACACAGATACAATATACAGGAGCACCGTCTGCAATTACACAGCAAACTGAGCACCACTTCCGGAAACCGCCGGAAACACGTCACTCAGGCAAGCGAACCCATAGGAAGTCGTGCAGCATTTCCGCCCAGCGGTGGCGATAAACACTAGAGCAACGAGAGAGCGCCAGAGAAATGTCGCCCAATGTAGTGTTCAGCTCCGGTGTTTGAGTTTTGAAATCAGCATTGTCAAACACTTTTCATCTTCCATTCTTCTCAGTGATCTTGCTATATATCAGGTGTGCTGAAGAACACTTACAGAGTTATTTACTAAAGTGGGAATTCAAGCAGGTTTATTCTCTAAACATGTTTTCGTTGTCTTGAATATAGTTTACACGTGAATAGTAAATGCACCCAATGTACAGCGATTTGTGAATAGATACAATAAATACGATGCTGACGTTAGGGTCTAATTTAGCCTGCTTCATGACTGAGCAATTTAATTTGGCTCTTTGCTAATCCAACTTTGTATACGTGGTCATCTGTAAATTATGTAATGAATTGATCATGAAAAATGGCAGCAAACCTGGCATCTTAATAACCGTGCATTTCAATGGGAATAGATAAAAAAAAATTAAAAATCCCACTACGAAAACCATCATGGCTCACCCAAATATAGATTGTTTTCTGAAAAAGTAAATTTTAGCCTAAACTAAACAATATCACTCAGAAGGAGGCCTAACGGTAGGATCACCAGTCCCTGTTTAGAAGCTCTGTTCCGGCGTCCTGCGCAGTTGGTAATTCTGTCCTGGCATCATTGACGCCCTGCCAGCTTTGTCCTCCCAGCACTCATATAATATTCAGTTATTCCTTCCTCCGTGGCAGCGTTGTGCCTTGAGAAAAGTCAATTTCTCCCAGATGCACAGAATGTGTCGCAACTGTCAGGGCTGCTTGTAGCCTGGGGAGGGGGATAGGGCCATGATTCCCTCTAATCCTAGTATATATTGGGTACACTGCTGTATCCTATGTCATTATTCTACAGTAATGTTCTCTGCATTCTAATGGCTCCTCATTAGAAACAAAGCTATAGAAGTTCTATTTTCACTGCAGCAACAATATAGAGTACTTGCATTTATGACTCACCTTTTTAAAATCAAGAATTTCATAAGTGAATCTCAACCAGCCATAGCTGTACCAACAGATAAGATTGATGCAGAGATATCCAGTTGTTCAGATTGTAGTTTAGTAAAAGACTATAATGGCATGTGGATATGATAAGTGCTTCTGCTTACTCTACTCCCTTGTTCCCTTTTGCTCATGGAGGAACTCAAAGTTGAAGATAAATCCAAAAACAAATTTAATGGATAGAAACAACCAAATAAAAAACATTAAAGTATAAAATAAAAAGCATAAAGTGCTGAGATGGAAAATCTGCAAAGCTTGTTTAAAGGGACACTATAGTCACCAGAACAACTACAGCTTATTGAATTTGTTCTGGTGAGTATAATCATGTCCTTCAGGCTTTTTGCAGTAAACATTGTCTTTTCAGAGAAAATGCAGTGTTTACATTACAGCTTAGAATAGCTCCACTGGACACTCCTCAGATGGCTACTAGGGGCACTGACATTCAGTGCCTCCACCCTCTGCATGGAGAAACTGAACTTTACTCATAGAGATGCATTGATTCAATTCATCTCTATGAGGAGATGCTGATTGGCCAGGGTTGTGTTTGGCTTGTGCTAGCTCTGTCCCTGAGCTGCCTCATTGACAGTCTTAGCCAATCCTATAGGAAAGTATTGTGATTGGTCTGGGCAACACTTCTGATAATGTCATCTAAGCAGGCAGATTAGGGGCAGAGCCAGCAGCAGAAGACTGGAGTAAAGGTAAGGTTATAATATATTTTGGGGGGGGAGGCCCGGACTGGCCATCAGGCACACCGGGCAAATGCCCGGTGGGCCGCGATGTCCATGGCCGTGGCCAGCAGGGGAGGTCACAGGATCTTCCCTGCCAGCCCATGCAGGGCTCACGCTATCCAAGCGCCGGCCCTGGTACATTCCATGACGGTCAGGTGGGGAGATCAAATATCGCTCTCACCGGGCCACTTGCACAGACATGCGGCTGAGGAGGGAGACAGAGGAGGACCTTGTGGAGCTCTATCTTGCAGCTCAGCCGAGTTCCTCTCGCGAGATCCGGAGAGTTGTCATGGCAATGCCCCTGATCTCGCGAGAGTGAACTCTAGCACCACCAGGGATGGCAGCATGGTCCCCCCCTCCCAGGCTAAAGGTAAAAAGGGAGGGGAGATATAATGCCTCACACATATGACCCTCACACACAGCACCCCACACCCAGCACCCTCACACACACATTACCCCCCACACACACACATTACCCTCACACACATCTCACACACACATTACCCCCACACACACACAGCTCCCTCCCACACACACACACACACACACATTACCCTCACACACACACTTCACCCCTCACACTAACGGCACCCTCATACATTTCATACTCACAATATCCATCACACACACTGCACCCCTCTCTCACACACACACTTTACCTCTCATTCACACACACATACTGCACCGTTCACTCAAACACACTGCACCCCTCACACATACACACAGAACCCCAACACACAATACTTTGATATACATATATACATACACTACAGCACCCCTCACCCAAAAACTGCACCCCTTACACACATACTGCATCCTCTATACACACACTCTATACAGCCCCTAGCCACACATGCATTAGATTACACCACAAACACAACACGACTAAAACCGACCTTAACCACAATACCACACCACAATCAGCTCACTCTACACACACGGAATCCCACAAGCAGGCTCCAAACACATGCACAATACACTTTCCGAGCTCTTTTGTCTCCTGGTATCCCATTTATAGAGACACCTTCAGAGACGCTCTTCAGCAGAGCTCTGCACATGGTCTGCCCTGGAAGAGCATTGAACCAACATGCTCATTTTGAGAGGAGGCGTGCTTGTCATTGGTGATGACAAAACACACCCTCTCTGCCCAGCCCCCTTCTTAGTGGGCCGCTGTGATTAAAAAATGCCCGGGCTGAATTTGTTTCCCTGTCCAGAATGGCTCTGGACTGTGCCGATTACTGTAGTAACATTTTAACATAACTTACTAACACATACCAATTATCTGTGTCTAACCCTATGGGTTACTTCAGCTCAGTTATAAAGGGTGCCATTGGCTGGAGACTCGATGCTGTGTTCATTGCCGTTGTGGAAGCTGAATTCCTTTTTAAGAAATGTCCTAATTATCCCATACTGTACATTCTCACACAGTTCTATTTGGGCAGAGTAGACACCTGCCGTCTGGGTAGGCAGGTGCCTACTCTGCCAAATCCAATTAGGGGGGCACACTGAATAATCTGCAGGGGGAATTGATTCCCTTGCCCCTCTAAAATAGGGTAACCCTAGTGCCCAGGGGATAGCTAGGAGCCACAGAACCACAAATTTGCTTAGCCCCACTAACTATCCCTATACAAAACAGAGGGAGCCTCAAACCACATAGGGCCCTGTGAAATATTAATCCTTCTAGCCTTGCCAGCTGCTTCCATTAGTTCTTCTGAGCTACTCATTTGTTTCTTGTTGACATTTATAACAATTAGTCTCTTATTTGCTGTTAATATGAGTTTTACCCATAATAAAATTGGTGCAGAATATGTTTGGGTTAAATAAATGGCAATAAATAAAAAATTATGGGCTATTTTAAAATTGACAAATTTGTTGTATAAATATATTTTAATGTTGTATATGTTTAATTGTGTTTAGTTATTTCAGGTGTTTATGTCCCATAGCATCTATATTGAAATAGATGTTGCATATTTTCAAGTTCATTTGTTGTAATAGCTCCCTAGTTTAGGAGGACCTTCTAAAAAGAATGACAGAATGGAATGCTCATAGACTTTGTAATAGCTCCCTAGTTTAGGAAGACCTACTGAAAAGAATGACAGAATGGAATGCCCATAGGTAATAATGGACTAGAATAGAATACCCATAGAGAATAATGGAAACAAAATATTTGAATTACAGACAAAACCATTCAACAGATTACTATTGTTATTATTTTATTATTTATATAGCGCCATCAAATTCCGTAGCGCTGTACAATGGGTGGACTAACAGAAATGTAATTGTAACCAGACAAGTGGACGCACAGGAACAGAGGGGTTGAGGGCCCTGCTCAATGAGCTTACATGCTAGAGGTAGTGGGATATAGTGACACAAAGGGTATAAGTAGGGGTAATGAAGTAGGTTTCTAGAAAAGTAATCAAATAAAACTTTAGCAAACATACTTTTGTATGTTTTCTATGGAATGCCCATAGAGTATAACGGGAAGAAAATATTAACTTTTTTGCATGAAAATCTGTGTTACAGTAAGGGGGAAAGTATTTGATCCCCTGCTGATTTTTAACGTTTGCCCACTGACAAAGAAATGATCAGTCTATAGGTTTGATGGTAGGTGTATTTTAACAGTGAGACAGAATAAAAAAAAAATCCAGAAAAACACAGGTCAAAAAAGTTATAAATTGATTTGCATATCAATGTGTGAAATAAGTATTTGACCCCTTCGACTTAGTACTTAGTGGCAAAACACTTGTTGGCAATCACAGACATCAGACGTTTCTTGTAGTTGGCCACCAGGTTTGCACACATCTCAGGAGGGATTTTGTCCCACTCCTCTTTGCAGATCCTCTCCAAGTCATTGAAGTTTCAAAGCTGACGTTTGGCAACTCAAACCTTCAGCTCCCTCTGCAGATTTTCTATGGGATTAAGGTCTGGAGATTGGCTAGGCCCCTCCAGGACCTTAATGTTCTTCTTCTTGAACCACTCCTTTGTTGCCTTGGCAGTGTGTTTTGGGACATTGTCATTTTGGAATACCGATCCATGACCCTTTTTCAATACCCTGGCTGAGGGAAGGAGGTCCTCACCCAAGATTTGAC